GGGCAATTGCAAAGGTATATCCTCATTTCTCTCTTTCTCACAACCTCTGCCATGTGTTCTGAAGTGTCGACTCTATTTTTGAAATGCACTCACCATTTTCATGAGAAACTGGGGGTTGGCATCATGTTTTGTAGACCTGATCCATTGTAGCTCAGGCACTTTATCTAAAGGGCTAGTGAAAAATTGCTAATGTGTCACTATCCTAGATTAGCAATGCGGTAATGTAGTTAAAAATACGCAGTGGCTGTAATCTTATGCATATTATGCAAGGTTCATTATTCCAAATTGTGGGTTAAATTTGATCAGGACTTGTAGGCTGGATCATATCAAAGAAGAAGTTATATTAAATTTGAATGTAGTTTTCTATCATTGATCTTCCTGCATATATTGTATGTTGTTAATTATTATTTTGTTTATTAGTTTAAACAAAATTTTAGTAGGCGGACGTGGTAATTTGATGGTCTATCTAACAAGCACCAGTTCTGGAACCTATCTTGTTCTGGGCTCTATAATCTAATTGACTATGATCAATGAAATTATAGTTCTTATGGTCTTAAGATAAGACATTGCAAGAGGGACTTTGTTTAGTCTTGAAGCTAACTACATATGGGTGTAGCTTGGATTTCCAGAGTTGGGTTTTTCTATGTAGCTTACCCACTTCCTAGGTTACAAGGTGGGGTTTAAGTTTAGGCAGTTCCATTTTCATTTGTTGGTCCAATTTATCAAATTTTGTGGTGCTTTTGTGTGAGTTCTCTGCCTGCATAAGGAAGCTGATCAATGCAGGCACCATGCACGAAATTTCATTTAATTTCTCCATCTGGAATCAGTTTTCCTCTCTTTACTACTAGTATTGCAATATTACTCTGATGTTTTTATGGAAATGTATGATGGTTAGGTTTTCAATATCCAATGTGATTGACTTATGGCCAAAAGGAAAAAAAAAATGGTGGTTGATGATCATATAATAGACTTGTGGATTCATCGTTTATTTGTTCACTTCACTAATTGTTCCTTGTTTTCTTCACAGAGTTCAGGATATGAAGTTTATATACTAGAGGCATCATATAAGGATCCTGCGGTGAGTATTATCTATGTGTGTTGTTATAACTGTAATTTGATAATTCTCTTTCTTGGAAGGAAGCCTACATTAGACATTAAGTGGGAAAAGGTTTCTTTTTTCTTTTTTCTTTTTCTCTTTTTGAAGTTTTTGTTTGAAATTTCTTGGCATGTCAGGGCTGCGCAGCTAGGAATGTGCACGGCTTTACCCAAGATGACATACAGAAGATGGCCGGACTATGGGAGGAAGCTCCATCCATATACTTGCAATTGGATGCCAAGGTTTGTTGTCATTTAACTTTAGTTTTTGGTTTGGGTTAGGATGGAGGAGCTCAAAGCAAACATCAGTTGTAGGTATAAGCAGTTGACTGTGGAGTCCAGTTAGTGCTCTTACCTTGATCATTTAGGGGGTGGAGGAAAGAAAATAAAAATAAAAATTATGCTTTCAAGAGATTGCCCATAAATTTTTTGGGCCAGAAAGTTAGGATGGCCATTAAGTTGTGAATGTAAAAGAAAATATTTTCTTTTGGGTCCATTAGCAGGCTACACAATAGCGGATGACCCTCTTGTTCTGCTACACCTCTCCTTACCTTTTTGGGGTTCCAAATACTACTCCATAAGGATTCAAAGCTGGGGGGAGTGGGGCAGGGGGTACCACTTCTCTACAAAACCTAGTATTTTATCTTCACTTGCATTTGCTTCTGGGATTTGTTTTGACGCTGTGTATTGCTGGTTTGACAGTCATTATTCCATGGAGATGACCTGAAGGGAAGTGACATTCAAGAGGCAAGTTGAATCACATCTGACTCTCTTTTCTTTTATTTCGAACAAGAAGTGTAATGTGGTGTTAGGTATCAATCCATATTTCATATGATATCTATCAGGTGGACATGGATACTGAAGATGCAGATAATGATAGTCTATTGGGATTGCAAGAAAGAAAGCCTGAGCTCATAATGGTAATTTTGGCTTTTTATTTTTTTCAATTTTAGTAATTATGGCTGAGGCAACCTGAGTTGATAACGTTTTGTAAATCTTAAGCTTTAGGCTCTTCCAAGGGTGCGAAGAGCTTGGATGCTGAGGAAGACCAACCAACTGCGGAAGTGAAAGAACTAGGCAGGAGTAAATGGTCAGAAATATTAGATGAAGATGATACTGAAAAAACTGGTGGTGTGAAGGGTAACTTTAATACTCTCTCTGGACTTATTCAAGCTTATCGCAAGGGAGGAAAATCTGTATGCTGGAGTGACCAGGTACGTGTAATCTCACCCAATCATTTGGTGATGTAAATGCTTAGTTGAAATAAGTTGTCTCTTATTCTGTTGATGGCATGGAATAGTAATGGTGAATTTTAAACTATAGGCTGCCACTTGTCGCTTGTATAGTTACTTTCTGTGATAGAATTGGCTCCTAGGCTATCCTTTAGAAGAAAGATATTGTTAGGATTTTGGCTTGTCAAATATGTCCTAGTTGGTTTAGGATTGTTTTAGGAAAATTAGAGGTATACCAATTCTTGTCATAGAGGGATTAGGAAAGAATTTCAGTTTTCCTTATTCAATTTAGGTTTGGATTTCTAGAAGTCTATTAGGATTTGGATAAGTGTAATTTCCTAATCCACTTAGGAATAGGAATCCAATCAGCCTTGGGACATGTAAGCCAACTCTATATCTATAAATAGGGTGTGGCAAGGCTTATTTTGAGAGAGGAAAAACAGCCAGAGACAGCCAAGAGTTTTGAGATTAGTTCTAGGGTTGCAAAAGTTCTGTAATCTCTATTATTAATCAAAGGAGCGGTGATTTCTCTACCTAGAGAAATCACAACTGGACGTAGGCAAAAGTTCTGCCGAACCAGTATAATTCTTGTGTGTTTCTAAATGTTTTAATATTTGCTAGTTTAGTCTATTGCCGTTGGTTACATCAAAGAACAAGATCTAGAAGGCGAGTTATTTAACAGATATCTCGGTTATAGTGGCATTTTTGGGCAAGGTTTTTCACTTCAATGACCAAAGAACTAAGGTTCAGTTTGCTTTTTATGCATCGGTGGTGGCTGGCCTTTGATTTGGTAGGCTTTTTTCTTAAAATGTGCAACCAGTTCTCATGAATGTTTACTTTTGGATTTTGGTTTTGTTACAACTTAAATGCCTTTTTATTTAAACCCTGTTTTGTACTTTTATTTCTTAGTTGTTCCAACCTTGGTCTTCCTTCCTCCAGGTTGGCAATACGGGGTTTTCGATAGCAGCGGCAAAGAAGGCGAATGTCTTGTCTTTGGTGATTGGACCGGGTTCTGGATACAACTTGGTTTGTTACCTCACTATCATTGTTGTGCTATCAGTAGAGGCTACGTAGATTATCATAAAATTACTAATGTATGCCATGTGGGTTCAAGAGTCGCATACTAGTTGGATGTAGTTTCATGTTTGTTAAAGTACTTTCTTTTCTTCCTGGCTAATTGATGGTTCCCTCTTGTTTTAGAGTATGGTTCTTGTAGCATATGTGTATGCACCATCCGTGTGTTACATCTGTTCCTTTTTAGGGCCAGCAAAATGATCTCATTGTGTTTTACTTCCAACACCTGCAGAAGTCCAATCCATTACCCGAAGAAGAGAACCCGGTAACCCATAGCAGTGGTGAATCAAAGAGGCAGAACGTATTCAAAGACCAACTTCGAGCAGAACGTGAATCCTTCAAAGCTGTTTTTGACAGGAGGCGGCAGCGGATTGGTGGACTTGGTTTGGAGGAGTAGTAGTTAGTTGTAGGTGTCAGGATTCTTTCCTTGAAAGTGTTTTTGGAATATCGTTTTCTGTTGTTAATATGTCAGTTTAGCTGTTGTTGTAGCGTATTGACACTTGAATGAGGTGGATCAACACCTCTGATTTTGTAATCTCATCGGAGGAGAATGCTAGTTAGTTGTAGGTGTCAGGATTCTTTCCTTGAAAGTGTTTTTGGAATATCGTTTTCTGTTGTTAATATGTCAGTTTAGCTGTTGTTGTAGCGTATTGACACTTGAATGAGGTGGATCAACACCTCTGATTTTGTAATCTCATCGGAGGAGTATGCTGTAAAATTCGGTGGAAAACCAGGGACTGATTTTCTTCACCATCGAAGCCTTAAATGTATGAACAATTTTGAGGCTGATTGGATACTAATGAATGAGAACAGAAATTTATTTATTTCCTAAAAGCACTTCCACTCACAAGGGCTAAGTCTAAGGCAAGGGCAAGCAAGGGCTGCCATTATTCACGTGAATAGTGTCAGCCTTTGTATTTGCGGTTCCACCTATGAGAGCTAAGTCTAGTGCAAGTCTGAGGCAAATACTATTCATATGAGATATGAGGAGATGAATTTGTATATAGTTTTTGGTGTGGGAAGTAAAGAATATGCCTAGGTATTTATTTAAAAAAATTCTGGAATTTTTGGTATTTGTTTTCTTGTTTTTTTGGGTTGCTGACGTCATTATGACGTCAGCATTGCATCAGTTTGCCCTGGCAGCAGCTCGGGCTGAATTTGCCCGTGGGCTTGCCTGGGCTCGTGGGACACAGCTCTTGCCAGGGCTGGCCCTTGTGCGTTGGAGCTGCTTCCTTCCCCCCTGGGCTGCCTTTTGCCTGGTTTTGAAGCAAGGGTGGACTTGCTCTAAGACCTCAATGTGATTTACCAACTGGAGTCCGGAGGTAACTTGAGAAGTGTACACTACCAGTAAATTTGAAGTTTGAACTACTCTTTCTTTATGAGAGGTATTTCCCCACTCCAATTTTATTCATTTACACTCCATTTTATAACTAAAAAAGAAGTGTAAGCGGTATTTTCTCACTCCAATTTTATTCATTTACACTCTATTTTATAACCAAAAAAAAAAGTATAAGTGGATAAAATTGAAGTGATAAATCATTACCTTCCTTTATTACGAAGGGACTTTTAATAAAAAAAGACACTAACTTTTTTGTTTGGGTATGTTTAAAGACACCAACCTTTTTGGGTCCTGAGACTGGATTACGAACATGCTGTCACACGTGTCACCTTACCCACCAAGTCTCTGTCTCCGCATGTGTTGTCAAAAAAAAAAATCACTATAAAGCAGAGCAATAAGCCATAGCTTCCATCAACTATTGGTAGCTGAGACCAAAGCTCTCTCTTCGCTATCTCATGGCCGCTGCTGCTGCAAGCCGTTGCCTTGCATGTTTCATGGACCCAGAAGCAGCCAAATGCAGCATAACAATTTCCAGCAGGCAAACCATTAATTTCTCTCACCACCATGTAAACCCACTTAACTTGCTGTAATATTATGCCTTTTGCAAACTATCTGTTTTAAGTTTTTGGCATAAATAACAAGTCCTCTTCCTCCTCCTCCTCTTCCTGCAAACAGAGGTCTCATTTGTGTTCGCTTTCCATGAATGGCTGCCAAGGAGACCCTCACCTCCCTTTAGGTACCATTGAAACGCGTTCATTTCCAGCAATTCCATCGCCTTCCTTGGCTCTAGACAGGCTCAACTCCGCCATTTCTGAATTGAAAGCAAACCCACCTTCTTCTACCTCCGGAATTATACGTCTCCAGGTAAGCCATGTTAAATGCTCAATGCCGTCCAAACTCAATTCTTCTACTTGTTTCTGTTCCGTGCCATCTTTTGTTATCTGTTATTGCCTAGTAGGCCAAAAAAGTTTTCATGATTAGAGCAATGGGGTTGTGCCACGTGGATGGGTGGCATTCATCAGCATGTGCTTTACATACCTTATCCTGTCTTCTGTAGCGCATGACATGAAAATTGACTTACTAATTTTGCCTTGGGATCTTTTGTTTTTATATTTTAATTTTTAAAAGAAGCACACGCACACATGCATGCCCAAATTATAAGAAGAGAAGTTTGCTCTGATCGTTAAGATACATGGAACTCTGAAATTAATAAAAAGATAAGTAAACTTGTTAAAAGAGGAACGATAAAGAAGTTCTGGATTCCAGCTACAAATGCCAGGCGAGAGGCCTTAGCATTTCTCAATGTATAGGCAGAACAAGTCAACAGTGGTGGAGAGGCTACTTGCTTATGTATAGTGCTAATATAACCAGCCTTGTATTTGAAGGTGCCAATCCAGCAGCAAATTGAAGCCATTGATTGGCTATATGCGCAACACCAATTCCTTCCCCGCTGCTATTTCTCCGGTAGGGGCCAAATCGGTAATTCTTCTGATCTTTCCATTGATTGCACCAATGGGAATGACCAGATTCAATTGAAACACAACTTGGTCAGCGTTGCTGGTGTGGGGTCTGCAGTTTTCTTTCAGGATCTGCATCCTTTCTCATATAGGCATTGGAAGTCCTTAAAGAGGTAAAAGAACAAACAATATTCAATATTGGAACAAGTTCAGTGTGATTCCATTTAACATATGTATATCTTAATTTTGTAAAAACTACTGTTCTTTCTTTCGAAATCCAATTTACAAACTGAAGTCTAATTTTGTCATCTCTTGATTGAAGATTCCTCTCTACACAATGTCCACTTATTCGCACTTACGGGGCAATCCGTTTTGATGCAAGAGCCAACATATCATCTGAATGGGAGGCATTTGGTTACTTTTATTTTATGGTCCCTCAGGTAGAACAATTATTTGCTTTTGTGCAGTAGTTCGAGCCATAAATCATGTTTGAATTCTCTTAAGTATTTATACAATCTGCTGCTAGATACCAAATGACAGGTTGAGTTTGATGAGCTTGAAGAAGGTTCAATGCTGGCAGCAACTGTTGCCTGGGACAATGCCCTCTCATGGAATTTGGGACATGCAATTGATGCACTTAAAGCTACACTGAGCCAGGTTCAAATATTAGGATTGAGTTAAATTTGCTTGTTTAGTATTTGTTGAAGATATTCATGTTTTATGTTTACATCAATTCTTGATGATGCAGATATCTTCTGTCATTTTGAAGCAACGAAGACAAGTTCCTTGGACACCAATGTTAAGCAATAATCACATCCCGAGTAAGACATACTGGAATCTTGCTGTTAATAGAGCTTTGCAGAAAATAAGAAGCAACTCAGCCCTTATTAAGGTACTATTTAATGATTTATTTTCCGTGCGCCAAGCTTGGTTTTAGTATTGAGATGCACCTCCTTTTCATCTTCCTCTTTCTACTTCTCTTGTTAATGAATCATCTTCTTTTGGGAATTCAGGTGGTACTCGCACGTAGCAGCACAGTAATAACACCAACTGATATTGATCCCATAGCATGGTTAGCTTGCTTACAGGTGTTTTTTTTTTTCTTCAAGCTATTCCTGTTGGATTTTCTCTGTATAACAAGTTATGACTACTACATCTGAGCTAAACTTCTTCAGGTTGAAGGTGAAAATGCTTATCAGTTCTGTCTTCAGCCACCTAATGCACCAGCATTCATTGGAAACACGGTAATTGTGTTGAAAAGTATAACTTCCATTCATCACAAAATATATTATCTTCTATGAGCACCTTGACAATTGTTTTATTTTTTATTTCGATTATTTTTGTGAATAGCCAGAGCAACTATTTCACAGAAAATGGCTTGGCATTACTAGTGAAGCTCTGGCTGGAACCAGAGCCAGAGGTGAATCGATGCCTGAAGATCTTCAAATAGAACTTGAATTACTTTCCAGGTTTAACTCAATTTTTTAAAAATCATTGTTATGATGTTATTCTACTTCACTGTGCTGCTAGGAGTCACACTACTATCCAATAACATTCATTTTGCAGTCCCAAGGACCACCTCGAGTTTACTATTGTACGAGAAAGCATAAGAAGAAAACTAGAGGCAAGTTTACTTTTTGGTGCTTTTATGTCTGAAAATTATTGATAATTTTGTTTATGGGAAATAAATTGGTGCAAATGTTGAAATTTATTGTCTGGAATTAACATGAAACTGGTTTAGACTCAACAAGGACATATACCATTCTTGTTTTGCAGAATGTATGTAACAGTGTCCTAGTTGAACCAAAGAAAGCAATCCGTAAGCTCCCTAGAGTCCAACATTTATATGCCAAATTGGCTGGCAGGTTAAGAAGTGAAGAGGATGAGGTAAATATATTGCATTTTTCTGCATCAAATCATAAAGTTTCCTTTCAAGCTCATATAATCTGGATTTTTTTAGTTAGATTAAATCTGCATGTTCTGCACCCCACTAGTTTATTCTCCTGAGCTGATCAGAGTTTTCTTCAGTGTCCAATATACATTGTTAAATTTCTCGACAATATGCTTGATTTCGGGATACTCGTTGAATTTGAAGTTTAACTAGCTATCTGCTTCCATTTCAGTTTGACATATTGTCATCTCTTCATCCAAGTCCAGCAGTTTGTGGATTTCCAACAGAGGAGGCACGGGTTTTAATTGCAGAAACAGGTGCATCATATATCAATAAAAAGAATTCTACTATTTCTTTGTCTTTGGCTTTATACACTCAATTCATCTAGCTGGTTTGGTCGAGGGAGAACCTTTTCCTGAAGACTCAGATTCTTTATATTCATAAACTTTGTGCAGAAGTATTTGACCGAGGGATGTATGCTGGGCCAGTTGGTTGGTTTGGAGGAGGAGAGAGTGAGTTTGCCGTTGGCATTAGATCAGCATTGGTGGAAAAGGTACGCCAAGTAAATTCTTTTGTCTTCTACACTTAAAAATGGAGTTTTTGTCAGAAATTTTTATATATCATGCATATTAGACTGAAAGTATCATACACAATAGGCATGTCTTCATTAGCATGCAGAATTCGTAGCGCTGACCCTTTTCGATTCTAGGGTCTTGGTGCAATGATTTTTGCTGGAACAGGGGTTGTGGAAGGAAGTAATGCATCATTAGAATGGGATGAACTGGAACTCAAGATTTCTCAGGTGTGTGTTTAGACTCAAGTTGCATTGTGTAAAACTAATCATTCTGCATGAGAATAGGTGTTTCAATAAACTTTTATATGTTTTGATCAATGATGTAGTTCACCAAGTTGCTTAAACTTGAAGTCCCTTTAGAGATTAAAAGCTGATGTTGCAAGGACTATCAAGTGAAAAGGTCAGTGGTTCTGAAGTTGGTAGCCAGAATTCTTTGATGACTATTATTCTTTCTTGATTGTTTCTTGGGATGATTTTCCCAATGACAACATAAAAGAGATTTGATATGTAAAAATAAATTTGAAAAGCAAATACCAATGAGTTGGACATGCCTAGAATGTTCATCTGCTCTGACTGGGACAACAATATGCTTTTCCATTAAATCATATTTCTTTTGCTCAGAAATTGGCTTGGCATGATGATGACTTGAAACCAAAAAGTAGGCTTGGTGTAAATAAAAACCACGAAAGCACGAACCGTAACAATAGCGTGAGTAAATCCTAAGAACATGTTGCTGCCACACCATTCATAAGTTCAAACCATTTCTTCACCATGAATGAGAAGGTCGAATTGCAGAACATACCAAAGTACATATCTTGACTAGAAAGAACAAATTAAATCAACCGATGAAATCAGAAATTATATCAATTGCATTGTTTCTCCCAATTCTAAGCCTTTATTTTTCCCTTCTTCCCCAAACTGTCAGATCCCCTTATAATTGAAACTACAAAAGCAATAAGAAGACAGTGTTACTCTTCACTGTCTATTGCTACAACCTCTGTTATTTCTGAACAGGGTTCAGTTTGAGCTTCATACATTTATATACAATTTTCATTTTTTGTTTATTCCCACATACACATTAACATGGCTTATTTTTAATGCATTTAAGAGGACCGGCAAAGCGTGTGAGCCTGGTCACAAATGACCCAGGTTTTGCCTGGATCATATCTGCCTTTGGGAGATTCCTAATGGGGCTTCCGGATTGAACAAAGAATGCTCCGTTCATCATAAGATCATTCTCTGATCTCCAATTCCATGATCTCCACTCGCCCTCTTGTGCATTGTTCCTATGAGTCACCTACATAACAACAAGAACAGCATTCAAAATTAGTTCAAGGAACGAGTCCCGCGACTTGGTTTTTTGATATGTGATTAGAGATAAAACAAATTTGGTGTAGAGACCAGTTTGTGCTTGTGCTAACACTAGTATATGTACCTCTTTAGTAGCTTGGTTCGACGGAGCAATGAACCGGTTGCCCTGGCTAATTATGGTAGGGTGTTGGCTGCCACCAATGGCATACATAAGCCAATGAGTATAGTCGTTGTTGACGACATGGAAAAATCCCCACCGGCACCTTGGCATCCGCTGAACCAACCCCTTCCCGAAATGGTTGAAAGCCAGAGTTATCTGCATCACTTGATCCTGAGAGTTGCTATCACTTGAACCAAACAACATCACCTGCACAATATATATAATCAGTAGCACGCATGATTTCACAAATGGGTTTAATTTTGTAAAATGCAGTAACAGATGGATTTTTACATCATTATGATTGGTGAGGTGACAGTTGGATATGGTGATGGCCGTAGAGCCTTGGATGGCATCAATGAGCCCATCTGCGCAATTTGACAAAGAGACATGGTCTATCCAAACGTTTGTGGCTCCATACATGGATATTCCATCTCCGTCGCTACGGGTGCGCTGTCCAAAGTGATTGATAGAGTCCCTAATCAGGCCGCCATTTCCAGGCTTGTTGTTATGGATGTGGAGGTTGGTGATGATCACATTCTTCACAAACTGCAATGAAATTTGGGCGCCATCGAGGATGTGCACGTTAGCACCTCGTGCATCAATGGTCTTGTCACTGGCCACCAGAAGCTCTTCAGTCAGCTTTATCCTCATGTCCCGAGCAAATATGATCCAAAGTGGCCCATTTTGAATCACAGCGTGGCGGAGTGTCCCGGGTTTCGGGTTCACTAGGTCAGCGTCGGTGTTATCTGTGACCACATATATTGGTCCAAGTTTCCCTCCAGTTGCCTTGCGCCCAAAGCCAAGGGCACAATCGGCTAGCCTCTTGCGATTTTTTTCCCAGTTGGGATCGCATCGCCAACAACGATCGATAGGGTTTGTAGCCATGCATGGACCCTTGTACTTCTGGTTCAAGTTCCTTCTTGTGTTGTTTGCATAATCGAAGGTGCTGCTTGCATTAAATAAAAGCTTGTAAATGATGATCAACATTTTCAAAACTCAAAACAACAACAAAAAATCAATGTTCAAGAAATCAAAATGTGTTTAAATGTCTGGTTTCTTGTGTGACAAGGAACTTACTCAAGGACTTGCTTGTTGAAATGCTCGGTGACTGCTATAGGATCATCATGGTAGGCTTCATGGGCGGCCTTCTTGGCTTCTGCGGCTCTCTGCTGCCAATGCTCATCAAAATCCGCAATGTTTGCCCTCACTGTTGTTGGGATTGTTATTGCAGTTACAAAAACACATAAAATCACAACATTTAGCTTCTCAGCTTCCATTGCCTTCCTCTCAAATTTTTTTTTCTTCACCTTTCCTTGTTTTCTTGCTTTTTTGTTTTGTTGGGTTTATTTTTCTTATACTGATGTCTAATGTAGCGAAGATTGAGCCCTATGTATGGGTGTGAAACTGGACCTACCAGACTGCTTGGGTTTAAGTAATGGCTTTAATTTGCAGGGCAGGGCAGGGCAGTTTCCATGGTTAATTGATTTTTTTTATTTTTTTTATTTAGGGAATTAATTAAAAGATTTAGAACTGCAATGGGGGAGTTTGGTTATATATGCACAACGAAGAAATCTAAAAGAAGCAAATAGATGAGAATGGGACGTGGGGAGGGAAGAGAGGGGAGCCCCTTTCCCCTTCAACGGTAGAAATTCCTATTTGCCTTCTTTGCTCACTTTGGATTTTCTTTATTGGATTAGCTTTAGTTCTGAGATTTTCCTTTTCCCTTCTCTTATTAATTTCTACAATCTCTCTTGACCATTCCTCTTGATTCTTACCATTAGTCAACATCCAAAAAAAGTGATCTCTAAAAGGATTAAATCATTCCTAAATATTCCATATTAAAAAAAAAAAACTACTTTAAAAAGTAATGAAACGTGTGTGATTGATATATGTTATTTCATACTTACTAATCGCATCGTTGATTACATTATTTCATACTTACTAATGCGGTCGATAATGTTGTCAATTAACGTGGTACAAGTAATTTGATTGAAAATTAAAATGTGATTACGCGCGTCTTTAGGCATAACATATATGTACATATATATATATATATGTTCATACCATGCAATTAAGCATATATATATATGAATATAATATAGGCCGTAATTTAATAAAATTATAGAGACCGCCCCCGCAAAGACAGAAAGAGAGGTTAGTTTGGACACAAGGAAAGCAAGGAATAGTGTCCTTGACATGCAGTCCAATCCAACCACAACAACATTTTGCATATGCAGGCAAATTAAGTTTGGAATAAGATGATCCAGAATGCATATATCGTTTTCCCACGAGGAAACCTGTTTGTTATTTGACTACATAACCCTGCACCAAGCCATTGCTACTCCTATATATATATATAATCAATCAGAGCTTTTGCATCTATATATCTCCAACCATTCACCACAAAGCATTCTATCATTTTATTGTAATTAATTCGCAGGCAAAACAAGCGCTTAAATTTGTTATTATAAGGTTCAGTTTATTTTATTAGTTGATAATTAACTGATGGCACAAGTCAGAGGATCATCAACAAGAGGGATGGGAGAGAGATCGTCATCATCGACACGCTTGCACGAAAAGATTTTGCCTTCCTCAGGTTGGACAGAGGACTCCAATGGCCATTATCTTCTTGTTGATCTTCCAGGTAACTTCATGAGATGAGCATCTAATATTAATTTTCTTTCTCTATTCCCTATAATGTTCCATTTCCTTAAGAAAAACATAATGCATGTGCATGCTCTTTTTTACACGCACAGAAATTTCATATGAACTTAGTCACGTGGTGTTATAGTCACACAGATAGATAGAGATATTGATTCTTCGTTATTATGTTTAGTTATTTATAAAATTGTGTCTTAGATTTTAAAAAGGAGGAGGTGAAGCTTGTGGTGAATGTCTCAGCTGGCTATATAACAGTCAGCGGACAAAGGCAAGTCAATAAGAAGAATTCTGAGTATTTTGAGCAGAACTTCAGCATCCCTCCAAACTCAGATGTCGATAAGATCACCGGAAAATTTGACGCTGGGATTCTCTATGTCACTGTGCCCAAGGTAGCAGCAGTTGTAGAAGAAAAGAAAGAAGCGGAACCTGAAATAATAGAAAACCAAAATGTCGAAGAAACCGCTGCCACAGAACCAGCTCAGCCAGAGAACAAAAATGTGGAAGGCGCTGCAGCAGAAAACATACACTTAACAAGACCGAAAAATGATGGACAGCACTCGAACAAAGATGATGGAGCCTCAAAAAAATTATCAGGAAATAATGACCGCATATTCTTTTCTCTGGAGAATATAAGGAAATGGGAGGAGCATGAAGATGGGATTTTGAAGACTGCAATGGAGATGTTGAGCAAAAATAAAGGGATTGTTATAACAGCTGTGGTGGCATTTTCACTAGGGGTGCTAGTTTCTCGTCAGACTTTCCAATGAGCAGGGCAATGAGAATTAAGATTATATACTAGCTCTTTAATTAATTAATATGTACATGTGTACATTAATTAACTCTTAAGTTACACTTGTTTTACTTTAATTCTCTGTCATCTGTTGTTTATAAATAAAAACATTTCAATGAATGAGATGTATCCTTGTAACCTTCTCCTCTTAAACTAATTTCTAACCCTGTTTAAATCATTCATAACATCTATACCTAAAACTCTACTCAAAAAGCAATATATATATATATATATATATATATAGAGAGAGAGAGAGAGAGAGAGAGAGAGAGAGAGAGAGAGAGAGAGAGAGAGAGAGAGAGAGAGAGAGAGAGCGCGGGGGGG